ATCAAGATACTTGGCGGGTTGTTTAGAATAGGACTGATCTCTCTTTGATTTTCAGTCCCCTGCGGTGCTCACAGGGAGCTGAAGTATGTGGAACTGTGATTGTATCTGATGACTGCGGCAGCACACCACTACTCTTTCACTGTCGCCTGCTCACCGCTGGCCAAACGATCGCGCCGTAGGAGTCAATCGACTCCCGGATACAGATCTCATAGCCCACAAAATGGTGGCGTTCCTTGTCGAAGGTGCAGTATATGCTGGGCTGCCAGGGTTTCTTGGGTTCTGGAGGACTGGGCTCATGTTGAGTCTCATCTGGTGCTTCTGTCAAGGGGACACAAACAAATACCAGTCAGCAATCTGCGGGTACAGAAAGGTGAATTGGGAAATGGCTAATCATGCTTTGAAAGGTGAGGAGACACGCCTTCTTCCGCGGTAACAGGTGCAGGAAGGGGCTCCTCTTCTTCCTCATACTCCATCGTTTGGCCAGGACCCCCTGTCTCTTCTAAATTCTCTGAACAGATAGTTTCCATAGCAACAAGCAGCGACTAACAGAAAAAGGAAATCTCCTGTTAAACAAAGATTTAAAAAAGAAACAAGGAAGTACGGCGGGGAGCTACCCTCCACAAACATGCAGATGCAAGAGCTATCTATCAAGTTCTTTCTGCCACATTGACCAGGCCTGTAATGAAGAGTTAGCATTGGCTGGTGAAGTAATGCGGAACTCACTGACAACACCACAGGTTCACACGGGGCCTGCCAATTCTAAGGGAATAGTTGTGGTGCAGGATTAATTCCTAATGTGCAGCCATTAATATCCTCAAGTCAACTCAAGGCTAGCGGCAAAAGGCCAATTCCCTAACTGCCACTTGGAGAGTTCTGGTCAAAGCTAGCTAATGATAACCAGCATTGTCTGGATTTTTGGACTTATTAAAATAAGATCACTTTAGTGGCCATATACTGTACAAGTTCTTGCATTAGGAATCTGTCTTTCCACATACCCCAGCTTGCTTCTCCATGAGACACACAGACAGGGAGAGAAGCTTGGGGTCAGAGCGCAGGGTCAGCCTTTAATACGGCACCCCTGGAGCAGTTGGGGTTAAGGGCCTTGCTCAGGGGCTCAACAGAGTAGGATTCCTCTGCCGGCTGCAGGATACAAACCAGCAACCCTCCTGCCACAGGTGCAGATCCTGAGCCACAGAGCCACCACTCCACCCCACCCCTAGACTTCTCTAACACTCCGAAAGAGCACATTTACAGGTTTAGCTACTTGGGAAGAGTCAGCAGATGAAGTCTGTTTCATTTATTGAACCTTATTAACATTTATATGAATAACTGCAGAACTATGAGTTGTAGTTCATACATTGACAATGGTAATCACATGCATCACATGCAGATGGTTCTGTCAAACTCCATCTTGTGTATTAAAGTGTAAAATTTGACACATTTTAGCACATACAAATTGTCATTTGTTTCGTCAGGTTGGCTACCCCTGAAAAACAGTAAGCAACTATACCCTCGGATGCAAGATTTTCTTCCTGCCAGTGCATGTCAAAACAGCAGCCTATTTTGTTATTGCATATTATTTTGTCAGTTTTTCAGGGCTTCAGAACCAGGGTATCACCCACCTTTCAAAGCCACTCAACTCTTTGGCAAACCTCAGTGCCACACAGGAGAGCTAGTGCAGACTGAACTAGGGGTTAAGTACTGCAGGCCTGCAGGCATTCAACAAGTCACAGAAGTTGTAGTTTTGCCAAGAGTCAAGCGGACTCTCATCTGCAAATGCCAAGCATACCCTGGTGGTACTTTGCCAACTGTGTGCAAGCCACTTTGGGAATCCCACTCACAGTCATTTTAAAATATATTTGAATAAATTAATCTTTTTAATGTCTTTTGGTAATGAAGAGGCTTAAAATTAGCTTTCTATCATAGTTTTCTAAGTCCTGGTGCTCACATACAATTCCACAAAATGCGATTACTGTTTAGCTGTGGAAATTGGTTAGTGCAGTACGAGACTGGTTTCACAATTGGTACAGGATATAGTAACTTGGTACATTAGTACTTTTGGAAACTTTGAACAACTGGAAGCTTACAACAGACAGGCCAGTAAATATATCTGGGCCACTTTTTCAAAAACTGTTTGGAAACCATCAACTTTGAACGAAAAGATAACGGGATAGTAGGTCTAACCAGAATACGCTGCCTATTTTTAACATGATGATGAGACACTCGAAAGATATTTCGAGGAAAATACCTCCCATACAGTATGTTTGTTCTTGCCAAAACCCTGTCAGTAATGCCCATGTTGCTCCCTCGGTACAGTAGTCCTATTTCAGTCCTATATTAACTTATCATAATTCACATAAACACCTTCTCTCCCTAGGCTCTACCTCTCTTCAGAAGGGTATGTGTGTAGTTTCATTCATCTGTTAAAGGAACATCTGTTCCTATGCCTATGCCTATAAAATGGATGGCATCTTGTCAAAGCATGAATATTTAATTACAATCAATTAAAAAGATCATTGGCATTCTAATGTGGACTATAACATATCCAATTGTGCGTTTTTCACACTTTTAAATTCGCAACTATGAACCCTGTGACTGCACACGGGGGAGAATAAAAATGCGCACACGGACTCCTCCAACCTTCCCAACTTTGAGACAGTCATCTTTTAGTGCATCACAGGCTGCACAGCCACATGCAAGAGGTTTAGCACCAGACGAAGGAGAGGCACATCTCTCACCTACAGCACCCCATGGCTCCAGTGATCATTGAGACCTAGGAGAGCCCTGGAAGACTAATCCCACCCTGCCTTCAAAAGTGCTCATCTAACTGGACTTTGCTGCTTATGGAATCACAGGCACAGCCCGCCTGTGATGTAGCCCAAGCTAGAACTCGTGATCATCGGTTTCAAAGTGAACATGCTAGTCATGAGAGGGTGTTTACACCTCTTAAAATCTGAATACTCAATTAACAGACCAAAAGTGGGGGGAGATCTAAACCTACACAGTCACGTATAAAACCTGAGGATAACGTGCACGTTTTAAAATAATTGATGGTTCAATTCACAATGAATGGTTAGTAATGGTCTTCTTTTGTGCTGATACAATTAGCAATACACAGTAGATAAGTGCAACAATCTGTATTACTTCTAAAATGTTTGGTTCGGTCAACAATTTTGACAGCATGAAACCAAGAAATAAAAATTACAGACCATTATAAGATGATTCTGCTATAAATACATTCGGTACTACCCCAGTTACTGCTGTCCCACAAATGAACTGCTCTATATTATGAATATATTTTTAACTGAAACTTTAGCTGCATGGAGTCTCAGGGTTTTCCTGACTACGGTAATTGGAAAGCATCCCATTGTACTGAAAACAGAGCCAACTGCAGGAAAACCCTTTCAAGAACAAGAACATGATGAATCCTAGCAAATTACAAAACAATCCATTGCTTTGTTTTTCTCCAGCATCCATATTCCAGGTGAATGCTACAGTACTGTTGTACAGGCAAATTCTGTTTTTTTTTTTTATTCAGAAAGCAGAAAATAAATTATGACATCATTAAATCCTTGCATGCTAGTAGTCTGAACTGCTGCAGAAATGGGTTGTCGAATACCACAGCCTATTTCAGACCCCACACCAGGTATTAGCATCAGCCTCCATGCAGACAGGGTATTAACAAGTGCAAAGCAGGAGAAGTTGTCTCATTACCTTTTTCCTTTCCTGCAGAGTGGATTTGCTGACTGCATTCCTGATCACTTGCTCCTGGGTTTATAGAAGAAGAGCATCTTCAAGGGCCCCTCCCCTCTGTACTGTTATCGCCCCAATATGACCACATCTTTATTTAGAGAAACATTACAAAATTACAACACAATGACAGCCAGAGGGGGACAGAGAGGGAGAAAGATGAGGCTTGGGGTGCTCTTGTGAAAAGGGCTGTGTCCAGAGAACCCTCTAGCAAACCACCTGACCTGTCTGACACGGCCATGGCAGGGAGGTGAATCCAGCTCTCAGCCCGTTTGTCCCATTTGCTCTTGACTGCCTACGGCAGCTGTGCAATTGCGCCGAAGAGGGGTGTTCGCTCGGTTTGACTGCAGAGTGGGAAAGTCAGTGGCTTCTCTTGAGCAGCAGTCTGTGTTGGAGATGCCCAGCTGACAGGCATCTGGCATCTTGCTCACCAGGGACTGCACTGCTGGGATCGTACAGACGACAGGGAAATCACGGAGCACTGTGACACACTCACACTGTCTCAGGTGCACTTGGGAAAATTGCAAACTCCATTCTGACCATGCACAGACTATAGGATACAAGGAAAAAGGACATTTTAATTAGACGAAGGACTAAAGAAGCTTGCAGGATTTATTATTATTATTTTAAATGATGAAGAATACATATTTAGTGGAGAAACTAGGGTCTGAAGATGGCACCAGAGAACATACACCAGTTCTCACCAATAGAACTTTTTAAGAAATAAAAGTATACTGGCTTTTTGTGCCAGGAGGCATCCTTATTTTGTGTGAGAAAAAAATGCCATAATTGTCAGCTGGAGCAGAAAGATTTTGTCTTTCATTTTTTAGGATAAAGAGAATCCAACACAACATTTTAAACCTTAAAATGATCATCACTCTGACGACATGGCGGGAGAGAATTCTACGAACACATAGTATATAGCCATGCAAAAGTATTCAGACCCTTGCTGTTTTCACATTTTGTTGCTTTAAAACTTGCAGTCATGAACATTTTGAAGTAGTAATTAATATTTGTTATATACACAGAATATTCCTCACATTCAAAGCAAAAAGAAAAATTAAAGAAGTAAATAATATGGAAGAATAGTCTAGAAGTCATAATTTCATAAGTAATCCAACACTTTGCTGTTGAAAACCGACTAATTTAGTGACACAAAATTGAGCCACACAATAAGTTGAATGGCTTCTGTGCACAATAATAGTGGGTCACGTGATGAATATGTGAGTATTGAATGAACATAATAAAACAATAAAAACATATCTGTGCGGTTCCTTATTTGGGTACTGAAATACTAATCACGGACAAAGGAGATTTCAAAGTATTTTAGGGAAAGAAAAGCACAAATCAGGAGAAGGGTACAAAAAAATGGTTGATTAAACCTTATCTTTTGTCGCATTCACCTCCAACAAGGCAAGATGTGAGTTGATTCCTTACCGTATCCAAAACACGCGGCCATTCAACCCCAAATTCTCCATAGAGTATAACTAGCTATCTGATTCTGCTGTGCTGTTTGCTCTTTTCTTCCAGTTCTCCTGACGGTGTCAGCCCTCCCTGGAACTACAGAACAATTGTGGTCACTTCCCCTCACCTCTCTCTTCTAATTTTTCTCCTCTGCAGTCTTTCTCTGTCCCCCTTTTCTCTCTACATTTCTGGCTGACTGTCCAACCCACTGCTCCTACAGCTCCACCCTATCTTCGTTGTTTCATTTCTCCACTTTCCTCAATCCTGATAGGAGCTACCCCAGCTGCTGATGCTCATCTGCTCCAAGGATACATTATTTCAAGGCCTTCATGTTTACAGCCTTCACTCTTCCTAGATGTCTGTGCCCTGGTTGCAGTCCAGGCTTCTACAAAAAGCATTTCCTCCTCCTTTATCCCCATTATATTGGTGTCCAACTGGTGCGGTGTTGGCCATCTACACTTTCTATTCTCCCAGGTTTCACCTGCACAAGAAACTGATTTTTCCTATTCTTTTTGGGGTTCTGCTTCAAATCCATCCTCATCCTTTCAGACCTAACAAACTTCAATAAGTGATGACTTTTTACTCATTCCTATTCTACTTCTGTGTCATCACAGTTCAGGCTAAGCCTGCTGTGTTGCTGCAGTCCCTTCTGCTGCCCACCACAAATTCAAAATCTCAAGTGAGCTATGGTTTGTTAGATGTACTGCCGTCTGTTCTCTACCTTCAATGTTCTCGCATTCAATGTGTCCTTATCTCCATGATAGTAGCTGTTTTATGCTGTTTTATATCAACCACACGATCAAAACAGCAGGAAATCTGTAATCAATCATTCTGTAGCCAAAAATAAACATTAGGCTATTCTAATATAAAAATAATGTTGAGTACAGGCATTTATCCAGGATTGAAATGGTACTCTTGTTCATGACCCATTTACCCAGAGTCACATTTTGCACATGCCACACTGTCACCATCCCAAAGGAAAGTCCCCTGAAGGTTTTCAGAATGGTAATAGTTATAGGTGGATTGCAATATGTATGGTTACTGGTAACCTTGCTAAATGCATATTATTTACTTTATTCTGTTTGATTAGGTAATGGTTATGTTATTTAGGGTAAGCACTGGGTGTGACAATTTAGCAAATGAGCTGAATCAATTCAGGCTGATACAAAAAATCACAAAACATGTTTAAATGAAGAACAAAAATAAACTAACCAGTGAGTTGAAGAAACCAGGATATCATGTGACAACACCTTAGAGGGATTTACAGGTTTTGTTGATATTACTATTAAAACAATTCATGACTTCAATTCATGAAGTTAGAGTAGTTGTGTGGACCTAGCATTCTGAGAATATACATGAGTGTGGCCATTAACTGTTTATATCATGTAATGGGCAGGAGTCAGTGTTTCTAATCATAGCAGAGGTTGTAGAAATAACAATTAAGAAGAAATGAATAAAAGGTATGAAAAACACACAACAAAGGTTTGTTAAAGAAACGCATTTGAGCTTTTCTCAAACCAAAATGTATGTACAGAAATTTCAGTAGCGCAGCGATCCGTTAGGATTTATTTCGTATTTACCTTCTTGTTTCCGAAGAAACCGTCCTGGTGCCTTTTAAGAGAGAGTGTGAAAACGTAAACACGAGAGTGAGAATATCCAGAGCCTGCGACGCTCTCAGGTCTGTTCTGTTCAGTGCCCCAGGGTATGACCTGTATCCACATTCACAAGTGCCTTGATCCCACATTTTGGGTTTTGCTGTCTTTCAAAATACCCTACGCACAACCAGCACTTCTGTTTTTAACTTCATTTTATGCTGAAAGCTAATATGGAGTGTGTAATGTCAACAGGGCGGCATAAACCATCTCGCAGGATTTCTGATTAACGTTTTTAGCAGTATGGCAGCTGATTATCTTGTAGAAACTGGATGCCTCACCATGCACTGCCCATACATTATCAGCCATTTAAAATGTCATTTTTGCATATTCAAAATGGTACTTGCAGGTAGTTAAGGGAAGAAGGACCTTTCAAGCTTGATTAAGGTTAATTAAGCTTGATGTAGGTATGGGTCTTATAACTGACTAAGGGTGTTGTCTGCTTAATTAGACTGAACAAAACTTTTAACATAATCCTGTTTGATTGCTAGTTTTACCCTCCTCGATAAAACTGACTGGAGTTGCTAGTTCAATAGGAGTATGGTCTCAACAGTCAAGACAAGGCTACGCCCTGCACAGCTTGTAGCTGTTAAATGCCTTGACTGCCCATCTATGAGGCTACAGCAATAGATAATATGTATAAAAATACGTTTTTATACAATCAAATAAATAAGGGTACAAAATGATTGGGTTCCAAATGACCTCTATAAAACTCTTCTTAGCTCACGTAGTTTAACAGTACTGATTTTGAAAATTGGTAATAATAATAATAATAATAATAA